GGAGCTTGGCTTGGCCAGTTACCCGGCCAGACGTGGTGCTCCCGGCGCCCTGCCAAGGACAGGGCCCCCTCCGCAAGGCAGAAGGCGCCGGGCTGGACACTCAACATGGGGAGCGGCGATAAAGTGATTCTCTTCTGAAAATTAATTTCAGGTCAGAAGGAAATTGAATTTCTTTTCCTGACAGTGAAATGTCTTAGCAGTGGTGCCATTAGGATTCGATTGGTTCAGGATGGAGCAGTCTCGCACCCGCCACATTAGATAAACCATAATGTGCCAGTCAGAGGCTCCGTGGTGTTCATGGAGCAGACATTTGCCAGCTGGGTTGCAGCCACTGCCTAAAAACTTGCTTTGCAGGACCTGTGAATATTTGCTGAGGGGTTGGACAGGCCCAGGACATCATGAGCGGTTCCGTGATGCAGCCCAGGAAAACACAGAGGCCGCAGTCTGGGGCACATGTTCCCGTCACCGTTCGAGCTGTCCAGTGGGGGGACAGTGACGTCATCCTGCCATGAATACATTAGGAACCAGGTCTGACTGGCCCTGAGTAACCCGGGGTGTGTGTTTTGGAGATTCCGGAACTCATCGGGGCAGTATGAAGTCCTTCTCTCCAAGCTCCAACTCCGCAGAACCACTGACCTTGTCTGAGTGCAGATGGGTGTCCTTAGGTATAATCAAGGCTTTCACCAGCCAGTTGAAATCTGGGACTCCAGGGACAAGTGTGAGGACAGCTGGGGGGAGAAGCTGTCTTCTGAGGACTGACAGAGGGGTATTTTTGGCAGACCCAGTGTTCCTGAGGGCTGGGAGAAAGACCCTGAGGGTTGGACAGCTCCTGGAGAGCCTTTCAATCCTCAGAGAGGTTCACGTGTGTGCAGTGTGGTTTAAACATCATAAATTTTATTTCTTCTTATTCTTGGGAAATTGGCTTCTAGTCACTATCCCCACTATCATCACCATCACCACCATCACCACCATCATTACCATAGCCACCATCATCACCACCATCACCATCACCACCATCACCATCACCATCATCATCACCACCATCACCATCACCACCATCACCATCACCATCATCATCACCACCATCACCATCACCATCACCATCATCACCACCATCACCATCACCATCACCATCACCATCATCACCACCATCATCACCATCACCACCATCACCATCACTATCATCATCACCACCATCACCATCATCATCTCCATCACCACCATCACCACCATCATCACCATCACCACCATCATCACCACCATCACCATCACCACCATCACCATCACCATCATCACCACCACCATCACCATCACCATCACCATCATCACCACCATCACCATCATCACCACCATCACCATCATCACCACCATCATCATCATCATCATCACCATCACCATCATCACCACCATCATCATCACCATCATCACCATCACCATCATCATCACCATCACCACCATCACCATCACCATCATCATCATCATCATCATCACCACCATCA